GGCATCCAAGGCATATAAGTTATTCAATCCAAATACAAAGAAGGTTGTGACTAGCATAGATGTAGTTTTTGATGAGGAGAACACCTGGGATTGGAATATACATCAATCTACTCCTATCTTAATTAATAATGAAGTCGAAGAAGCAGTTGGAACACTCGAAATTTCTGATATTTCTGAAATTTCTACTAAAGCAGTTGATGAAATTTCACCACCAGTTTTGGAAGAAATTGATGCACCTGATCAGCCTTTTCGCCGTGCTCGCAGAAGGCCCGCGTGGATGATGGACTATAAGGTAACAGGAATTCATGTTAATGAAGATGTTTCCAACTTTGCATTATTTACAGATTGCGATCCTACAACCTTTGAGAATGCCGTCAAAGAGGAAAAATGAAGGAAAGCTATGGATGATGAGATTGATGCTATTGAAAGAAATCGCACATGGGAGTTATCAGATCTTCCAAAGGGGCACAAAACCATAGGTGTCAAGTGGATCTATAAGACGAAAATCAAAGAAAATGGTGAAATAGACAAGTATAAGGCGTGATTGGTGGCTAAGGGATACAAGCAGGAACATGGTGTGGACTACACAGAAGTCTTTGCTCCAGTTGCAAGGCATGACACAATCAGAATGATAATTGCCGTGGCGGCACAAAATTTGTGGCCTATCTTTCAGTTGGATGTCAAATCAGCTTTCCAAAAAGGATACTTGGAGGAAGAGGTATTTATCGAGCAACCTTCTGGTTACATAAAAATTGGAGATGAGCATAAGGTATACAAGTTGAAAAAGGCTCTTTACGGACTAAAACAAGTTCCACGAGCTTGGTATAGTCGCATTGAGGCTTACTTTCTAAATTTTGGTTTCCAGAAATGTCCATATGAACACTATCTCTTTGTTAAAATTGGAGAATCTGGAAAAATGCTCATAGTGTGTTTATATGTTGATGATCTTATATTTACTGGGAATGATAAAGTCATGTTTTCTGATTTGAAGAGATCTATGATGGATGAACTCGAGATGTCTGATCTTGGTAAGATGCATTATTTTCTTGGTTTAGAAGTAGTGCAATCTGTTGATGGGATATTTGTTTCCCAAAAGAAATATGTGCGGGAAATTTTAGATCGATTCAAGATGAAGAATTGATATCCCATCGATACTCCAGTTAAGTTTGGTTTGAAGCTAAACAAAGTTGGAAGAGGAGATATGGTAGACAACACGCTCTAAAAGCAAATTTTAGGTAGTTTGATGTATCTTACTGCTACAAGGCCTGACATCATGTATGTTGTAAGTCTTATAAGTAGGTATATGGAGAGTCCGGTAGAAATTCACTTGCTAGCTGCCAAGAGGATCCTTCGCTACTTACAAGGAACTAAGGATTTTGGTTTGTTCTACAAGAAGGGTGAAAAATCTGATTTGATTGGTTTTGCTGACAGCGACTACGCAAGAGATCAAGACACAAAAAGAGTACTTCAGGCTATGTTTATTTACTAGGCACAACGGTTGTTTCATGGTCTTCCAAGAAGCAAAAAATTGTCACTTTATCTAGTACTAAAGCGGAATTTGTTGCTGCTACAGCTTGTGCTTGTCAAGCTGTTTGGTTGAGGAGGATTCTTGAAGAACTACAATTCAAACAAGAAAAAGCAACTACAATTTTCTGTGACAATAACTCTTCCATTAAGCTATCAAAAAATCTTGTTTTACATAGAAGAAGCAAGCACATTGATATGAAGTATTATTTCTTACGAGATCTCAATAATGAAGGAACAATAGAGTTGCAGCACTGTCGAAGTGAAGATCAGTTGGCAGACATTTTTACTAAACCTCTCAGGTTTCTCACTTTCCAAAATTTGAGGAGGTTGATGGGTATCAACATGGAAGAGCTCAAGAAGCTGAAGTTAAACTGAAGCTTGAAAGCTTTTAGTTTAAGGGAGGGTGTTAGTTTTAATAAGTTATGTTAGGAATAAAATATCTATCGTTATGTTTGTCCTAGTCTTTAGGAAGAAGTTTAAATGTGGGCTGTTGTCAAGTTTTTAGGAGAAAATCTTGGAGTAGTGGTTCCTAATTTTTAGCTTCAGTTTTTCTGCAATGTATCTGTTTTATAAAAGGACTACTGCAAGCAGCGTAATAAAGTAGTCAGGAAAATTCTTTTTCACATACTGCCACTGCTCTACTCCATCTATTTTATGTTCTTTATTTTCTATTAGGGGGCTCACATTCAAACCTCAGAGCATGACAGTAGGTGCATTCTTGTATTTTTTTTCCAGATTATGAGTTCATGTTGTTGTGAACTTCCCATTAGTTACCCCTATAACAGAGAGCCAAATAATATTTAGGAGTGAATGTTATGTATGGTGACACCACTAAATTATATCAAGTTGTTAGTGTAGACTATTTGAGTAAATATACCTCCTTTAGCATTCACCTCGGATATAGCTATACGTTTAATAGATTTTTTTTCCGCTTCTTCACCTGCGGCTCATGAGCGTGCCCATCTTCTATTTGATTTGTTGATGCCACAAATTTTTCAACCCTTCGCAAGGTCTTGTCTACATCCGATAGTATTTTGCGCTTAACCCCTGGTGCCAATGTGACATGATGATGTTAAAATTGTAGTATCTTTAGTTGGTTTGTAAGTTTGATTTTCATGTTAAACAAACATTTTGGTAAGCACACCTCTTGTTTTGGGCTGCTGATTCTGTTGCACTTCCATTTTTAATTGAACTGCCTTCGAGATAATGGTCTCCTGTATGACATTTTGTGAATGTAAAAATTCATTAGTTGAAATTTTGATAGTGTGTGATTATGTAGCACCAAGTTAATTATGTTATGTGTTAAGCCAATATTACCTACTAGAGCAGAATTGGTGGAGGGCGTATAAGCTGTGTAGTTGTCATATTCTATATATGATACAGGAAAGTGTTTATGTAAGATGATAGGGGTACTATAATTCGAATAGCGAAGCAACTAAATCCTATATGAAACAATAGAAACAATATTTGCACAATGTGCTGCCTGGCCTCCTATAGATTACTTAGGTTCAGGTCATATGTTTGAAATATCTGCGTATATAATTATCAAGTGTAACTAATAATTGCATTCTCTATTCCCTACAACCCGAATGGCTTTTAATCTTGTATTACATCTCCTTGCGGCATTTTTTTGTTGGAATGTTCTATGTTTATGTCTTATCATTTAGGATGGTTTGTGGGGTGGCCAAGGGACCAATGAGACAAGTACAATTGTATGCCAGATTTGCGCTCATCAAGTGATGTCTATCATATGTATAATTGGGATCAGTATGGACTCTGTCGTATTACTTTTGAAGCCGTGAACTTAGGGATGGAAATGTATGTTTTACCCCATTATACGATAGACGGACAAATGGAAGATGAAGCCATTGTTTTACTGTCACCATGTGTTTTTATATTTTTCATTATTATGAGAAGCATAATGCATATGCCATTACTGGATGTAGTTCAGAGGGGTAGGATAATCGATCTGTTTATGAATGTGTTAGGAGAATTAAGGGAAACCTACAATTTGTAACTCGCAGTGCGTGATGTCGTTGTGTAAAGTTTTTAGTCTAGCGGTTGTTATCTAATATGAAACCATAACAGAGGAGTGCAAGGGGTAGGATAATCTACCTATTTATGAATGTTTTAGGAGAATTAAGAAAAACTTACAATTTCTAATTCACAGTGCATGATGTTGTTGTGTAAAGTTTTTAGTCTAGCGGGTGTTATTTAATATGAAAGAATAACAGAGGAGTGCACAAATTGATCCTGCGGATGGTTTGTGTAAATGAATGTGTCACTGTTTCTCAATCTTTTGTTATTTTGAACTGATGGAAGTATGGAATGTGACGACTACAATATACTGGAGGATCGTGAGGATCTGGATGAAGGCGTGAAGTTTTGTGAGTTCTTTTTGTCAGGTGGTGCAGTGACGTAGTGTTTTTATCAGGGGTTTGACGAAGTGGTTGCAACGATTGAGGAGGCAACTTTTGGTGTGCAGCGCAAAGGAATCCGAAGGTTGCGATGGTTTAGAGAAGGCGCGTCTGTTGGTTGATGACTTTTGGTGTGCAGCGCAAAGCAACTAGAAAATTGTGAAGGTTTAGAGAAGGCGCATTTGTTGGTTGATGTGTTGCCCCTGTCGGCTGGTTTAGTAACGGTAATGTTCTGGTTAAGCAGGATTCAAGACTTTCAGTATATGGGCCTTTCGTGGAAATCTGGAATGTGATATAATATACTATTTTTACTATTACGTAATTCTAATTGCTTCTTAGCAATTAAAGTGGGAGCTAATAGCTATTAAGGTCATGCAACTTTAGTAATTTATCTAGCAAAATTATTAAATTTAGTTTTTTATTAATAAAATCAGTCAACGTAAGCTTTTATATCCATAAAATCAGTCAATTTAATTTATCAAGAAATTACTTTATTTTAAATAGCATAGTCACGATTTAACGAATGAACAACTAACTGTAGAGATCAATTGCATTATAGATTATATTTTAAATAAAAAATTAGCAAACCGTAACATTAATGAAGTAGTAGTCATTGATCAATTGAAAATCATTAATTAATCTTACTTTGTGTATTGAAAATGATATTATAATGAGCTACTGATTTTGACCTATTTCTTTATTATTATATCATGATATACAAAGTAATTATGTGATTTGTAATAATAATTTTTTGATTTTATTGTCCTAAAGATGTAAGTTTAGTGATTTTCTTGATATAGAGCATTGGTTATTGACTCGTCAACTAATAGTTCTATTTAAGTGCGGCCAAGCAATAATAAGTTTGTTACTAATTTGTCGTTACCCCGTAAAATTGTACCCCCGGGTAAAGTTAGTGTACTTGTAAAAGTAATATCCAACAGAGGCAATATAGACATCTAACAAATATGAATTCACACATAAATAGGTAATAAGATACACTCATTGGTTATACAGTAGAAACCACACATTGTTTAGTTACATAATTCAGAAAGATGTCTATTTTTTATCGACTTTGGGTTTCTTTAGGTTGATTTGGGCGGCTGCATTTGTGGTTTTCTTAGCTCTCTTCCTGTACTTCCTCACTGATTTTACTTCTTTTTCCACAATAATTGGTGCTTCATCTTCCACTTGATGTATTTGTTCAGCAATTAAGCTCCTTCGGGGTTTTGAATCAATCAAATCAATTCTGACAAGGAAGTTGAATTGCTTGTCTTTACTCAACACCAAATTGCGGTAGTTGTGACATTCTTCCTTCTTGATATGATGTAAACAATTGAATATGTTCGTTGGAAGGTTGCCAGTAAGGTACACATGAGACTATGTAAATATGGCGTGACATTCAGTCAACTCTATAAATAAAGTTGATACCTTTACTAAGGTTGATTGTATGTACTCTTGCACATTGAAGCCTAGTAAATATTTAGCCGCTTCAAAAAGTATGACTCGAGCACGTTGTTTTCCACCACACTTCAAGTCGTAAGCAGTATCTTCAAAATAGGGGTAAGAATTCAATATGTCAAGTTTATGTGTTTTGTAAGGAGTAAATGTTTAATGGAGTTTTAACCGAGTCGAACCTCATTTCATATTCTACATCATCAACGTTGCAATTGGTACAAGCTGCAGCCTCTTCTATAACTTTCACTTTCTTGTGGCACGTTTTGCATGACAAATACCATGGCTCATCTTTATTGAGTATGTCTATAATTGTTTCTTTGAACTTGTACATACAATCCTGCAAAGCGCCACTATACCATATTTGTGAAATGTTAAACATACAAATGAATTTTATTTATAGAGGGGTGGAGTATTGATTAGTATGTACCTATGAATCAGCCAACAACCCATTGAGAATATGGACCAACGAACTTCTATATCTCTTCTCATTACCTTACTTGGTGTTACCGTAAATCTTTGTTGTCGGCCTTTATGATTTCACGTTTGTATTTACAATGAGGTTAGTTAACAATGTAAGCCATTTAGAGTGAGGTGTGTTCAGTGCATACGTTTTTTGGATTTATGGTGATATGTAATTGCATAACAATGATAATAGAGGAATTATGTCGTCTTATAGCAATGTTCGATTTAACTTGGCTACAATGGCAAAGTGTAGTTTGAATATTAGTTTTGAAAGTTGGGTTAAAGTAAGAGTGTTGAACAAATTTGTGAATAATGTAATGTACCAGGCTCGAAGGTCGGTTGCTTTTTCAAACATTGGATTGATTAAGACGCTACTCACAGGAATAGTAGAGATTCCAAATCGGCCTAGAATGAGAAAAACATGTTAATGTTAACAAACAGGAGTTATAGTCAGTGTCTATTCGATAAACACCTAGAATAGACTGTTGGATACTTTTATAGATTGAGACTCTAACGTCACATAAGCCGAGTATAGGTTTATCATCTTTAAGATTTTTCAGGAATGCACCGTCATTTTCAGTAAAATCTCCCCAAAGAGCTACACTTGTATGCTCCATCCTAGATTATCAATTAGGAGTGAAAAGTCAGCATACCACCATATCTCTATATAGATGATAGATTATGAATCATCGCAACTTACAACTCATTTGTAACAACTATTTCCCGTCTCTTAGAAGTCGTATTTTGAATGAGGGGATTCACCGAAACTAAGACGCAGATCAAGTCTGGAAATAGCTCATGTAAATTAGTGCTAACACTTACGTAATGGAGCATGAAAATAACAACTTTGACATTTGGATAGTTACCTAGAATAGCACCATTAGGTAATTTATCAGCATCGTCTAATGATGAAAAGCCATTAGAGAATTTCTGTGTTGAAACCTCATGGTCAGTCTCCTTTATGATTGTGTTGTTTGTAAAGGCCAATTCAACTTCTTTATGCACAGAAGAGTAGTTGGGGTTGACACGATCTAAGTGTCCGTTAGCAATGTAGTAACTCTTATTTGGCTTCAAGGAGTCCTTCCCTATTTCGATATGCTTATTAAATAGCATTGCTTGAATCTTTGTCCCCTATTATTAAGCAGGGGGTGGCATAAGTACAACAAACATGAACAATAGTACGATAACGTAAGTAAAAGTGTCAATGTTATTACCTCTTCATCAACTAATATGATAGTTCTGAAAGACCCTTCATGCCTTGAATTCTTGTAAGGTGTTATTGAACCCCTTCGAATAACTAAGATTCTAATCACAATATTAACAGAGCTTTTTGGTATCTGGTTTATCGGTACACTTTGTTTTGCTTGTTCAGATTCAGTCGCCATGTGGGTCGAATCTTGATGATTGCAGGTACCTGAGGAGATGAGTGCAACAATGTTATTTCTGTTTTTTTTTCATAATTGGCAGGAAATTGTATGTAACCAGATGAACGAACAATCGGCATTGTAGGCAGGGGCGGATCTAAGGGTACGGGTAGGGGTGTCATGGCACCCAGTGATTTCAGAAAAAATCTTTGTATATATATGTATATATGTATCAGAAATTAATATATATTAACTTTGCCACCCACTAAACAAAGTGATGAATGGTTCAAGTGGCGAAGGGCATGATATGCCATACGTGCAATGTGAGTTCAAATCTCGTTGGTAGCATTATTTTTTTGTGCACGCAGTGAAGCTTTTTTTTTTCTTTTCTTTTTGTCTTTTTTTTTATTAATGTGTGAAGGGCTTTAGTTTTTTTTCTTCCATTCATTCTTATTTATTTACGATACTTTATTAATTCAAATTGACTCCTTTTCACTGTATTTAATTCTCATTTTTGTTTAACTTTCACTAATTATTGACATATATTATTAAGAATGCATTTAAATAGTAGTTTTTAAAAAATATAAGTTTTAAAAATGATGAATATTATTACTAGAGTTCTTTCAATTTAAAGGTTCTTTCGATCTTCACCGACATTCTTGCTAAGTAAGATGACTAGGTTGAAACTACAATTTTATTCTATCTACTATATATCTGCAACAACACATAAAAGTCAATGGAATATGAATATATTCAGTTAACACTATAAGATGTTTTATACAAGCTCAAATTTTAATGTGAAAAAAAATTGTTTTTCCTCAAAGTCTAAGTGAATAAGGCGTTCAATTCCTAAAAAAAAAATTGAATTGTTTAGTTATCTCTAATCACAGAATATCTAAAAGAAAATATTACTAACATGAATGTTTGATCAATTTATTTATAAAAATCGAAAAAGGATAATAACCCGAATTGTAACCCAAAATTAAAACAACCGACCCGTTTATCTAACTTGAACGATGTGGCACCCAAGACCTCCAAATCCTAGATCTGCCTCTGGTTGTAGGTATGTGAGTCAGAGTTGGGGTGAATGTGATGCATAACAAAGGATAGCAATAAGGTGTAAACAGCGCAACCGTAAGGTTAGAAGTAACATTTATATATATATATATGAAATTTGTAGTTATAAAGGGCAGGTGACTGTATATACATACGCCAACAAATAGCAGACAATGTTATTGTTGCCGCAAGGGGAAGGAACAAAGTGAAGGATTCCATCTGGAATGTGTTTCATATTGCGTTCTTCCAGACTTTGAATTTTTAAACTACTAAGGGAATGTCATATAGAAGGGAATAACTTACAACTTGTTAAATGGCAGAGCAGATGCAAAGAGGTTATGTTTGCGAGTATTATGCGTGCAGGGGAAACAATTAATTTGGTGAAAGAAAAGGTAAGACGTATTAAGGCAGTATTATGAATGAGAGGGTGTGTCGTTTGCATACCTGTGTGTAAACTGTAATTGATGTGTGTTTGATGGGGAAAAGCATTACAATTTCAAAGTTATAAATAGTCGGAAGCGGTGGGGTGCGACTGTTGAGTTTGCTGGATTGAGGTGTTTCTTCATTGCAGAGGAGGTAGAAGTGGTGTCGTTTTCGAATGGGTGTATTTAGAGGCCGAAGAGGTATGTTCAAAGTGTAACAGGGGGAAGTGGCAGTTTCTGCAAATGGGTGTATATAGCGCGGGGTGTTGTAAGGTGGAATAGGGGTAATTTGGTACTTTAACATTTAAGTTAGGAGTTGATGCTTTTAAAGTAACTAGTTTCTGGTAACGTACATTGCATGTTTGTTCTTTATTATTATGATAATAAATTTTCTTATCTATAATAGTTTTGAGTTATTAAATAGAAATATTGGTGGAGGCATGAATGATTTGTTTTTTTTTTTGAGAATTGGTAACATGTCAGGGGTGAAAATTGTTAACCACTAACTAATAATCTCTTTTACTGCTTATATGTTATATTTGAATTCAATTTCTATTATATGCTTTTCTCTTTAAGATTGTTATTCCTTTTTCATATTTAGATCGAAAGATAAATTTTAATGTTGTACATATTTGACTTTTAAGTACTCCTTCATATTAAATTAAATTACTTCATTTGTTAGAATATGTCTTCTTTAGAGATTTCTTTTGCTCGATGTTGTTGAGGGAGAAGCATCAGTTATCCTTTTTACCTTGAAAGCTAGGAGACTAAACCAAAATATAATTTCAACAAGTCATTGTGAAACTAAAGCTATCAAGGAGGCTCTACTTTGTAAAATACACATGCATTAAGTTATTAAAATCTAATTAAAAACAACAATACTCAAATGTTAATCAAATTTATTAAAATTACTCATGCAAAAATTGCGAAATTGTTGGAGAGACATGTCACATACCTCATTTGTATTGGCGCAATTTCTACTAAAAGTTCTATTCAACGGTCTGCAAAAGCATCACCTCTGGTTTATACCTGAGATTAAAAAACTACATCATAAGCTCATAAAACAAAATTTTAGCAGTCTATTTTCATGTGAGAGATCAAACACTTAAACATCAATTTAAGAATATAATTCGAATGATAGCAAAAAAAAAAAAAAAAAAAAAAACTAGATGTAAAGAAATGCTTGAAAGAACATATCATAAGAGTTTTATGCTCTCTAAACCAAATTCAAAAGTACATTATTGTCATTAGAAGACAACGCATGAGAGACTTAATAGGTATAGTGATTTCTTGAAGAGTTAAAAAGTCATTCAACTTTAATGGTGATTTCTTGAAGAGTTATAAAGTCATTCAACTTTAATGGATTCATACTTATAGTATAATTAATTAATTAATTAATATTAATATTAATAATAGTATGATAATGATAATTAAAAAGTTGAAGGGCATTTTCGTAATCCAACTTTAGACTAAGCACCTTCCCACTTATAATATAATATATGATATGATATAGATATGATATGATTATACATATGTTTTCCTTGAAAAATCAAGTGATTTTTTTTTATGTTTGACGTGGGTTGTTTGGCGGTGATTGGTTAGAGTTAATCCAAGTTTTTTTTTTACTTCTAAATTATAAAAGTTAATAAATAGATTTTGCCGATGGTCACCGGAATGTTGGTGATGTAATATAGATGGCTGGCGTGAAAAGGCCCTATCCGCTCTCTCCAGAATACCCGCCTCTCCCTTCATTTCGATGCAAAAAGTGTTGTGTTGCCCCTGTATCCAGATCAAACGAATCCACTTCCTGCAGCAACAAGTGCTCAGTCAATGTAGAAGAGGGAAATGTGCTTAAAAGGTTCTATATCTTACCTGGAAAATTGCTTAGTTCTATTACTGGAGAGGCTAATATTTAGTCATTTGGCATTTTTGCAGAGAAGTTATCTCAAAGTCAAAAGCTCTCAATGGAGATTTTCTCAGATTAGCTCCTCCAGCAGCAGCTTTCTCACATTCTTTAACTGATTAAGCCCCACAATGCCTTCAGCTATTCGACTATGTTCCCTCTCGGGTGAGACTAAAGGACTTAAGCATTTATACTCTTGTTCATGTATTCTGCTTTTTGATCTCGGTTTCACTACCTTCCGAATGTGTTTAATCCACAGGTAGCTGCTGTAGATCATACGCGTCCTTCAGGTCTAAGCCTATCAGTTTAACAACCCATCCTCGGATTCATCCAATCTGCAAAGGTGCAGATTGATCGAGAAGGAACTCGTGGAAGTGACTTTCATACTGAAGTAGAAGGAAATGTTGATTTGGAACTGAAGTTATAGAAGTTTGTCAATGCCATATGTTTGTGATGTCCTGGTGTGTAAGGCTCGCGTTAGAGGTGTGTGTGCAGGGCTTTAATTCTTTTACATGATAGACAACGTTGTTTCGAATGATTGTCCTACCATTTATAGGGATAGTTTGTAGATAAAACTTCATATGCATGTTGTTGCATGAAAAACATTGTGAAAATGTGAATCACAGAAGAGAGGTTTTCATTAGCCTCGAGGCTCCGCTTTTTAGTTGAGTTTTTTTTATTTTTTCAGTTGTAATAATCAATGATTTTTATAAAATATGGAGATTTGGCGTTCTGCTTGATCTTGCTAGGTTCATGTAGTGAGGCTGTGTTGCAAACTTTGGACCTAAATTCTTATCATGAATTGTGTGACCATCTCATCTAAAAGTACAAGTCGTTAAAGAAAACACACGTCTAATTACTTAATTATGTCTTCAACACACCCTCTTACGTGTAAACCTGATTCCTTTTTATGGGTCAAGTACATGAAAAATATATTTGAGAATGGGTGGTGGCCAGTGAGACTTGATTCCAAGACCTCTATCTATCGTGGTGCAATATTGAATTGTGTGGTCACCATCGCACACTTCTAATCTCTTGATTGCGTTTTTAAGATGTTGACTCCCTTGGTTTCTTCCTTTGTTTACTTCGTTAAATATTGAATGCCCTTAATGAAAATCATGACTCTTTCATTGGGTTATGTCACTCATTATCGCAATGTGATAGTTAACAATAATTCTCAAAAAGGCTAGAAATCACAATAGAGCCAACATGTTCAAGCTTTTTTTGTTAAACGAGGAAGTCATAAGATAGTTGGTCGTACCTAATGCGTCCATTGATTTACGACTCTTGTTTTAAGCCGGAGAAAGAGACCACAAAAGCCATGGCTTGGATATCTTTCCCAAACCTTTTACCCACTTACTATGTAAAAGAGTCATTATTTTCATTAGCATCGTTAGTTGGTACCCCGTTGCATTTGGATATGACCACAATCAATAAAACTCGACGTAGTTGTACAAAGGTAAAACTTTTAATGAACCTAATCGCTAATCTTCCTGAACATGTTTGAATGAGAATTCAGGAGCAATAAGGACAATATATATGGATTAATATTCAAATACGATTATTTACCTAAATATTGCAGGGAATGCAAATTAAACTACAAGGCCACAATATTTATGAATGCAAAGTGATCCATGAAGATGATATAAGAGAGTAAAGATAGCAACAATACCAGACAGAAAGGGCTCAATGACCAGGCTTTTAAGGAGAGACAGATGGATTATATTATTTCTAATGGCATATATAGGGAGAAAAATCAAGGAACACAACAACAATAATCAGATAATAAAATAAATGTTAATTCCAGTCTAAAAGGGGTGGTTATGACCCCCATCTATAACGATCTGGTTGACAACAATAATGATGCACAAGACAATGAGATAGAATGCAAACAAGAGAACTCCATGACTAATAAGGGTTGGGTTGAATATAGTTTTCAAAACCAAATTAAAGCAAGTAGTTTATGACACGGAGAAGGAAATTGAAAAGTCTTCTAATCGAATTGATGACAGTCAACCAACTAATATCATAGAAGGAACTGCATGCATCTAATATAGGGGAGCATGAAATTAAAGAAATGGAGAACAACAATATATTGAGGATGCGAATGAAATGGAGAAAGAAACTACATATCCTGAAAGACATGTCTCAATTTCAGATACTCTTGTAATTGGTGGTCAACACCAGGCAATGAAATGGCTAACGTGACTTTATAAATCCGTGGACAAGTAGCTGCTACTTATAGGAAAAAGTACTCTCCTTTGAAAACTCTTAATGATATTGTCTCTCACTAGGGCAATACAAGAATCCTGATCAACAAGTAGCGAAAAAAAGATAGTAAAAGACAATTAGGAGGAATTTAATAAGAAAATTGGAAACAAGTAGCTAAAGAAGAAGACTTGTCTCCCCAGTCTTTGGGTAGTTCTAACTCTTTACACTCTACCAGAATCATGCCACTATTCTTAAATGAGGTTAAAAACCTCTTCTAAAATATTAGGTCTTTTAATACTCATCAGGTCTTTTATAGAATTTAAATCTTACACACACATTATAAGTTTATATCGAATGTTCTTATTCAGTGGTAGATCCACGATTTAAAGGTACGTCATGGCTGCTCACTTCCTTTAATGTAAAGTCGCTTGCCAAAAAGGATTTCCTTCTAAAGTTTACAAGTATTTTTACAGTTTAGTTAGTAAATGAAATATGAAAAATAAAGAGTGGAAAAAGGGATAAGACACAAGTACCCCCTAGACTATAACCGAAATCTCAGAGATACACCTTAACTAAACTAATGTCCTATTACCCCTCCGAACTTATTGTTTTTGTAATTTTGTACACCTTTTGTCTTACTGGCACACTCCGTGACTCCACGCAATTGAGTTGCGTGAGAGATATTTGGATGCCACGTAAGCCAAAAAGGTGCACAAAATTACAAAAAAAATGAGTTCAGGGGTGTAATAGGACCTTAGTTTAGTTAAGGTGTGTCTCTGAGATTTCAGTCATAGTCTAAGGGGGTACTTGTACATTTCCCGTGGAAAAATAATAAATTGAAAAAAAGATAGTAAATAAATAGCAGTGAAAAGGTACAAAAAGAAGAGTAAATATGTAAGAAAATAATTTCACTTTACCTTTTTTCAATTAAAAAAAAGACTTTGGTTATGCTAGGATTCGAACCCTCACACATCAAGGGTATTATCACAAATCAAGGGTATTATCACAAACTTCTTCAGCTTGAGAGCCAAAGAACCCATTTGCCATTTGTTTAATGGGTGCTCACAAATACATTATATCAAATTTTCAATATTTTCTATATGCATATACAAAATTTCTATCGATGTCAATAAGTGCTCGAGCACCCAATACAAATATATATGGATTTGCCTCTGTTCATATGGACCTCTTTCAAGATACTAGACATATCCAAAAATATAAGAAGTGATTAGGAGTGAAACATGTAAATTTTTAATCTAAATGGGAAGCTTTGATTCTTTGTGGAAGATGAGATCAATGTAGTCATCTTGCAAGATTTAGAATAACATATTATCATGAAGTTGACTTTTCAAACAAATGGTGAAGTTCTTATAGCCATGCTAGTTTATGCTAATAAATGTGGAGTAATGGATATATATATGGTTAATAAAAATAATTTAATCATAATAAATCTTCTAAAGTAATTAGATTGAGTAACATTAATTTGGAGAATTCATATAATCGACAAAATTTTAATGGGACAAGGCAGAGGAACATTTAAACATAAATAGGGCAGGTAGGGCGAGCTTGAGAAATGAGAGTAAGGTGTTCATTTAAATCTTCTTTGGTGGAAAATTTCTCTTATATTATATACGTAAGATTAATAATACTTTTGGATTCTCTAGTGTGTTTATTTTTTAATATTTTAAATCTTCTTAATGAAAATCTCAAGTTCCCCACAAAATACATGATGATACAAAGAAATTTAAATTTTAAAAAGACAAGGCATATTACCGGTTACTCGATTAATATTTTAAAAAAATAGTCTTGCCTGACTAAATTAAAGTTGTTGCAACACTCAATTTCTAGGTCGCCATATTCAACTTTTAGTTTTCTATCTACTTCTATTTTTTGCAAATTCAATCAAATATGTGATAGGAACATTACGACTGATTCTTTTTCGCATTAATTAACAATCCTTTATTTTTTTTGCTTAGTTTGGATACTAATTGTTTTGGTTTTTACTCTCAATTAAGTAGCATCCTCAGTTGAATGATTACTTCACACAACTTTTATTGATGCAATCTCCTTAATCTGAAGCTTACTAACTTTGTGTGTCTACTATGAGTACAAGGACTTCCTTGTAGGTGTCATATACTTTTATTTTGTGCATGTCAATAACATTGCTTGGGTCGTAAAAACGTTGATACAACATTGATACATAAAAAAATTGGGTGCACTCACGATAACTCTGATTATAGTGCAAGTCGATATGCCACAAACCCAACTCTCTTGAGAATTGGATAGGGACCAATATACTTGGGGCTAAGTTTTCCTTTTCTATCCAAATGCATGATGCGTTCATTAGTGACTCTTGAAATACACAAAGACAACTTCTTCAGACTTTACTTCTGAATATAATTTCTAGTAACTCACAGCTATTTTAAATCATTTCTAAAATAATTTTTATTTTATTTAAAGTATCATGAAATATTTTTCGACTACATAAATTGTAAATCACTAATTTCAAACCAACCTATATGTATGACATCATCTTTCATAGAATGTGTCAAACATTGTCATTTGAATACTTGTTCAATAAGTACAATTGCACCAAATTGCTAGGAATGTTGTAAAAGTAAACTCACGATGACTCGTCTACTATCCATATTCTCATATGCATGGGGTGATGTCCTATACATAGTTGATTATCTGTATACTCTTCGTCAGGGGTAACGTAATTGAATTCATTGTATTTTTATGTGGACAATAAATTTATATCAAATTTATTTAACTTATAATAAATAGCAGATATGAACATATAATTTTTAACAATAACATGTTGAAAATTACCAACAAAGGTTATGGTGGAGTGATACGTACTCATTCATCCTTAACTAAGAGGTTTCGAGTTTGAGTTTCCTTAGAAACGAAATCACCTTAGTTAGGGAGCGGTTTATCCCCCAATGTGGGACTTTCCAGCGCGAATAGGGACGGAGCTATACCTAGTTAAGGGACGTCAGATGAACAACCTTTGTCGGAAATTTTTGCGAGTTCATTTGTTAAATACCTATATTTTTGGATATATATTGATACTGAACACCCTTGACATAGTAAAAACAAATAGCCTAATGGTTAAGGCGGTTCAAATCTGCCTAGAGGCCTGGGTTCTCGAGCCCAAACTTAGGCATTTTTTTTTAGTTCTATTTTAAGTTAAAAAATAGAACAGAAGTCATAGTTCCGTTTTGATAATTTAACGAACAAGGTTTATTTTTTTACTTGTTCTAAAGTATGAACACCCCTAACGAAAATTCTGACTCCGCCACTAGGCGTGAATCCGAATTTAAGCGGACTCCAATGTGGGTATCGAACATCAGGTGGAAAACCAAAAAAAAAGAAAGTTCAAAGCTAAAATTTTAAAAAGTTGAACTCATAAACTTTAAATTTTGAATCTGACTCTATTCCTCGCATACTTTGTCCTTTGTCCTTTGTCCTCACCATATGTTTCTTGACTTGTAAGAGATAAAATTGTCTATTTTAGATTTTTAGAATTACGACAGACATATATTAAGAACTAAAAATTATCCATTGTAAATGTTTTAGTCGTTGACGCTATCAACTTACAACGCGCATTCTCTTGTCTGGTCAACCAAATAGTTTTAGTTAAATTAACCGAGTTTTTTCTTTTTATATAAGTCAAAGAAATGAACACGAAACCTCCTATTGGTTGATTTGTTTTCCTTATAAAGTAGAAACCCTCCTTATTTTTTCTCTCTGCTAATTTTAAACCCAAATTCCTCCTCATTGTCGTCTCTGTCTTCTTCTACGTCTATGTCGATACCATATGGCATCCAAGGCCAACTCCTTGAAGTTACTGGTACGAACTTCATTCAACTATAGCAAAAATACTGAGATTTTATGAATTACTTTTCATTATTTGCTTTGAATTCTCGTGTTTGTAGTTGTTGCTTGTAATAAATTGAAGGATACTGAATGGATTTCAAGGCAAGATCCGTATGTTTGCCTTGAATACGGCAGTTCTAAATTCCGTACTCGTACATGTACAGGTACAAATTGAAGGCTACTGAATGGATTTATATCAGTTTACTTTCATTTTTAGTGAATTTTGATGTGATTCATGCTGTTGTTCTGCTATTTTTTATGTAGATGGTGGAAAAAACCCTACGTTTCAAGAGAAATTTGTGTTTACGCTCATTGAAGGGTTGCGAGAGATCAACGTTGTTGTGTGGAATAGCAATACTGTTAATTCAGATGATTTGATAGGGAACGGAAAGTAAATCTCAATTCGTTATCTCTTGACTAATTTGGAATTGTTGCTTAGTTGATTGAATGATCTACTTAGTTTGTTAGTTGAGTGTTAATCCTTAAATTACTTAATTTAATTCTAGGGTTCAACTACAGAAGGTTCTCTCACAGGGATTTGATGATACTGCTTGGCCACTTCAGACGAAGAAGGGCAGGTAAATTGATAAAAGCAACTTCTACATTGTTCATTTCTAGATGAATTTGCTATGGTCTTTCTTTTACGGCGAGAATTGTGTTTATGGTCCTTCTTAGTTTGAATTTGTGTCGTTTGTTGCTTGTATGTATGACAATCTTCTACATTGTGCTTCCACTCTTTCATGTGACATTAATATGACAATTTGCGACACCAAGGTCTGGGACGTATGGTTATGATGTGATTCTTCACATTCATCACTAAAGTTCTTCATTTCATCATTATTGATTAACATAGACCTGTCTATAACTAGCCATCAACTTACTTCCGGATAGTGATGCAGGTGGAACTTAGGCTTTTATAAGCTATCTGTATTCTGTACAAGTGTTGAAATTTTTTTTGTTCAACTTTCTCCCCGTTAATTGTCTACTTCTGGTTGTCCTAGCGGAGTCATGGATCAGCTCTTTCTACCAAGAGCCTTATAGACCTTTAGACATACTAGACACAATTGGGTCACATGTTGTCTTCAAGTTGGGTGAAGAGTTAGGGGTAGTTGAGGTTCAATAAGAGTCAGCACACAAGTACTAATACTGGTGGATTCATGGGGCTATAAAGATTTTTTCTTGATAGTATTTGTGAAGTCATTGGAGAAGAATGAAGAGAGCAGTTGTTTTCAACACTTGTGTATTCCTAATGTGAATTAAAAGATATTTTGGCATGTGTATGTATTTTTAGGTAAGGAAAGGAATAAGAAGAAACATCGTGTCTTCATTCTTCTTATAGGAAAAAGCAGAAGAAAACCAAAAACTGTTTTATGTTTAGATCTTATGTCTTTCTTTTCTTGATGGCTGAAAAATTGCTCTACTTTGACCTCACCTGTCTGGGACCTCAATGTTTCACTTCTGTTTTATTTTAAGCGTTACACTTAGTTTAAGCATCAAGGGGTGTATACACAAATTCCTTTACAAATCTAGGAAAGAATCTCCTGTATTTCTAGGTAACTCAAGGACGCCTTGTGTGATTAACACAAACATTGATAGATTTGTCTGTACATATCTCTACAGTTAATAAAGTTAATTTGAACTGTGTGAACCTAAGTTTATAATAAAGTAGTTTTGTGAAATTGTCTTGGGCTCTTTTGGACTGGATGTTTGGGGTAGGGTTGTAATGAATGAAATCTCATTGTGTAACAGAAGTACTTTGGCTTGTATATTTCATTTACAGGCATGCAGGAGAAGTTCGACTAATAATGCACTATGCAAATGCCAATGTAAGTGCCGCCGTCTTTTCTTAGAATTTCTTCCTTGCTCCCCACCCCAAAAATCTTTTAATGTCTTTAACACGAATTTCTCTTTTACTTCCAGAAGCCAGCAACAAGCCATGCTCAATCAGGCCCTCCATATGTAACACCAACTCCTGGATCATATCCATATTCAGTAGCTCCACCACATGTAGCTTCTCACCCACCACCTTCTGGCTATCCAGCACCATCTCCTTATTCCACAGCCCCGCCTCCTTCAGCATATTATCCAGCTTCTCCTTATCCCACAGTCCCACCCCCTTCAGCAGCATATCATACAGCATCTCCTTATCCCCCTCAATCGGCTGCTTATCCTTCACCTTACTCATCAGCTGCATATCCGCCTCAGCCTTATCCACCACAGGGTTATTCTTATCCTCCAGGTAAATCTTGTAAGATGTGAATTTCGTACTCTCCCCTGGCATGTCAATTAGGGTTAACTATATACTTTTGTTGTCTTGCCAGGTCAATACCCTGGAGCCTATCCTCCACGATCACATTGATGCTATGTTCTTAAATGCTTGGACAAGTATTGTGCACAAACAAGTACTGGCTGAATTTTCATTTATTAGTGTGGTCTCATATCTGTCTGGTATTGAAATTTCAGGACTTCTCCATGACCTGTTTGTGATTGCTATGCTGAAACTGTTTATTATTTGATGAATCTGGAAATTATTCAAACGAAGCTTATGTTTTGTGCCTGTACTATATAGGAGTATTCCCAAGCGAAATGTACAAATTTTTTCTTGTCAGATAGGCTCCACCGGCTTTTGTATGTGCCTCATAGCCAAATGTGGAATCACATGATGATCATTCTTTTTTACATGGAACACTTTAGATTGTACTTATGTGATTTTTACATCCTGTTAGAATTGTTGATATGCCAGTTTTTTGTAAGTTGAACAAAACATATATATTTTTGGGAATCTTGCCTCTTGGCCACTGAATTTGAATTAAACAAATAAGGTTTTAGTTTTTTTAATATTCTGTTGGGAAGTAACTTGCTTAGTAGTTTGATTGGTTGAGAATACCTTCAAATGCTATGAACTTCTCTTGGATGCTTATAGAAGTACTTCTGCCTGATGAGTACTATTTTTGCCATTCTCAACTTCTGTTTTACTTCGAGCAACAATGTATCAAAAATTAAGTGTACAAAGAAATAAGATAAGGACTTGAGTAGCAACACATATTGTTATATCAAAAGTAGAAGCCTAATTAGACTTGGTTCATAAGTTGGTTATTTTACCAAGGACGGTCAGCTCATCATCGATACTAGAAAAGGAACCTAGAATTACTAAGCCACCTAATAAGAGAGGACTCCTCTCAAATACAAAGTATCTAGAGAGTCATAGATAAGAGTCTCTCCCCTTATAAAATTAAAAAAAGAGGATCTACTAGAAATAAGACATGTTAAAAGAAGCTATTACTTAACACAAGAACAGCCTAGATGAAAAGGATAAAGTATCAAAAGGAGGTACATATGTATTTGCACCAAAGCTTGGAAATGGATCAAGTGTGAATAAATCATCCTAGTTGGATTTTATGTTTGATAGCGACCGTGTTATACTTCTTAACCGGAGGTGTAATTTGAGCGCATTAGTAATTTAGTTGATTGATGGTTTCCATGAATACTTATAAGGCATTATAATTCCAAGTATAGATTCTCCTCTTTTTCCACCATGTAAGCCTCTTGACGACGATCGAAAGATCTTCTAATCATCTTAGACGGATCTCTTGTTGAGTGAGAATAATATAACAAATTTCTCCAATTATGCAAGGATCGGCTTCGTTGATTATCCGTTAGATCTGTCCTTAAAAGACTATTCATTGAATCACGATCGCTCACATTAAGCACAATAAAACTAGTAAAATGAGTAGGCAAGTTACTCAATTTTCAACAAAACTAATTAAAGAACAAATAAATAAAAGCAATGTTAGATGTATTTTAGTTCTTGAAAAAACACAATTAGTAGACAAAATTAATGTATAATAAATTCGAGTGATTGAAACTTAATGTATATTTCCTATTTCATATGGGAAGTTAAAGTTTATTGTATTTGGGGAGTTCAATAAATTGTATTACTTTTGATTTTATTTTTTGCTTTTAAATTCATTGGTTGATACTTGAAACATAAAGTAAAAGTTCAAAGGCATTGAGAATATATAATATTATATCATAAACATAATTTAGATGGAGAATTTTTTTCCTATTTTCTTTCTATACCAAAATATAACGAGTCCAATTCAATTGGAACTTGACAAACTATCTAGTCTAGCTATTTTCGTTTCTCTGCCACAAATGCGATGTACTCTGAGAAGACAATAACCTATTCTTGTTTTGGTCTCTAGGAACTATGTTACCTTTACAAGAAGGTGCCCAAGTATCTGCACAACTATCCATAAAACCCAACACATATTCTAGGCAGAGTTGCATAATCAAAGTCAAAAGAACTACTTTTATTTTTTTCCTTTTCCAAGCTGCTCTTTTTGTTTCCCCCCTAAGGTGGTGTATCAACATCACCGTTAATAATAGTTTTGCTTTCTTGCGCTTGCCACTTGTTTTCAGGAAATAATCCACCTTATTTCTTTACCTAAATTTATCCCCAGTCATCGGCTCAATATAGTATCTCTCAACAATCCCTGTAGTGGCTCCAGTGGTACGAATCTTTATTTCAAACCTCCAATTCTCTGACAACTACTTTGGTCTATCTAGATTCACAGGACGCATATGCGTAATCTTCCTCTGAATCTGCAACTTACTCAGAGTTACATTGGACACCTTTCCTTCATTAGGTACATCACCTTTATTTAGTGTGGTGTTCTCTACTGTAACATCCAACACAACATCAATGCAGGTTCCCGACGGCAACAACGAGTCCGAAGGTATATCATCATTGCATAGGTCATGTCTGGTAACAATTATCCATGGGATGGAAGAGACAACGGCATCGACCTTAGTCATCGAACGAAGCTTTAAAAGAGTCAATGTGGAGAAAAAGTCCATTATTAATTTTTCAAATAATGAACTCTTTCTCCACATTGAGTCTTTCAAAGCTTCCTCCGATGACTAAGGCCAATGCTGCAGTCTCTTCCATCCTTTCGTTAATTGTTACCGATGACAACTTGTGCAATGATGGTATACCTCCGGACCTATTGTTGTCGTCAGGAACCTGCATTGATGTTGAGTTGGATGTTAGGGTAGAGACAGCCACACTAAACAAATGTGATGTATTTAATGAAGGAAAGGTGTTTGATGTAACTCCGAGTAAGTTGTAGATTCAGAGAAAACTTACCCCTATGCGTCGGGTGAATCTAGATAGGCCGAAATGGTTGCCAGAGAATTGGAACTTTGAAATAAAAGTTCGTAGCACTTGAGCCACTGCATGAATTGTTGACAGATACTATATTGAACCAGTGTTCGAGGGTAAATTTAGGTCAAAGAATGAAGTGGATATTTTCTTGAAAACAGGTGGCAAACACAAGAAGGACTCGAGTACCAACACATATTGTTATATCAAAAGTAGAAGCCTAATTAGACTTGGTTCATAAGTTGGTTATTATATCAAAAGTAGAAGTCAAAAGAACTACAATTATTTTTTCTCCTTTTCCAAACCGCTCTCCTTCTGGTTTTTCCTCTCAGATGGTGTATCAGCATCACCGTTAATATTTGTTTTTCCTTCTTGCGCTTGCCACCTATTTTCAGGAAATAAAGCACCTCACTTTTTAACCTGAATTTACCCCAAACACTAGTTCAATATAGTATCTATCAACAATTTCTGTAGTGGCTTCTGTGGTACGAACTTTTATTCCAAACCTCCAATGCTCTGGCAACCACTTTGACCTATCTAGATTCACCGGACGCATATGCGTAATCTTCCTCTAAATCTGGAACTTACTCAGAGTTACATCATACACTTTTCCTTCTTTAGGTACATCACCTTTGTTTGGTGTGGTGTTCTCTACCCTAACATCCAACAAAACATCAATGTAGGTTCCCGACGGCAACAACGAGTCCGAAGGTGTATCATCATTGCATAAGTCAGCTCATCATCGATACTATAAAAGGAACCTAGAATTACTAAGCCACCTAATAAGAGAGGACTCCTCTCAAATACAAAGTATCTAGAAAGTCATAAATAAGAGAGTCTCTCCCCTTATAAAATTTAAAAAAGAGGATATGCTAGAAATAAGACATGTTCAAAGAAGCTATTACTTAACAGAAGAACTAGCCTAGATGAAAAGGATAACGTATCAAAAGGTGGTACATATGTATTTGCACCAAAGCTTGGAAATGGATCAAGTGTGAATAAACCATCGTAGTTGGATTTTATGTTTGATAGCGACCGTGTTATACTTCTTGACTGGAGGTGTAATTTGAGCGCATTAGTAATTTAGTTGATCGATGCTCTCAATCAATACTTATAAGACATTATTATTTTAAGTATAGAATTCTCCTCTTTTTCCACCATATAAGCCTCTTGATGACGATCGAAAGATCTTCTAATCATCTTAGACAGATCTCTTGTTGAGTGAGAATAATATGACAAATTTCTCCAATTTTGCAAGGATCGGCTTCGTTGATTGTTTGCTAGATCTGTCCTTAAAAGAATATTCATTGAATCACGATCGCTCACATTAAGCACAATAAAACTAGTAAAATGAGTAGGCAAGTTACTCAATTTTCAACAAATCTAATTAAAGAACAAATAAATAAAAGCAATGTTAGATGTATTTGAGTTCTTGAAAAAAACACAATTAGTAGACGAAATTAATGTATGATAAATTTGTGATTGAAACTTAATGTATATTTCCTATTTCATATGGGAAGTTATCCTTGTTTTAGTCTCCAGGAACTATGTTACCATTACAAGAAGGTGCCCAAGTATCTACACAACTATCCATAAAACCCAAGACATATTCTAGACAGAGTCGCATAATCAAAGTCAAAATAACTACTTTTATTTTTTTCCTTTTCCAAGCCGCTCTTTTTCTATTTTTTGCCCTAAGGTGGTGTATCAACATCACCGTTAATAATAGTTTTGTTTTCTTGCGCTTGCCACTTGTTTTCAGGAAATAATCCACCTCATTTCTTTACCTAAATTTACCCCCGGGCATCGGCTCAATATAGTATCTCTCAACAATTCATATAGTGGCTCCAGTGGTACGAACTTTTATTTCAAACCTCCAATTCTCTGGCAACTACTTTGGCCTTTCTAGATTCACCGGACGCATATGCGTAATCTTCCTCCTAATCTGCAACTTACTGAGAGTTACATTGGACACCTTTCCTTCATTAGGTATATCACCTTTGTTTAGTGTGGTGTTCTCTACCCTAACATCCAACACAACATTAATGCATGTTCCCGATGGAAACAACGGGTCCGAAGGTATATCATCATTGCATAAGTCGTTGCTGGTAACAATTATCCGTGGGTTGGAAGAACAGCGGCGCCGACCTTAGTCATCGAAGGAAGCTTTTAAAGAGTCAATGTGGAGAAAAAGTCCATTATTAATTTTTCAAAATAATGAACTTTTTCTCCGCATTGACTCTTTCAATGCTTCCTTCGATGACTAAGGCCAATGTTGCAGTCTCTTCCATCCCTTCAATAATTGTTGCTAGTGATGACTTCTGCAATGATGGTATACCTCTGGACCTATTGTTGCCGTCAGAAACCTGCATTGATGTTGAGTTGGATGTTAGGGTAGAGACAACCATACTAAACAAAGGTGATGTATTTAATAAAGGAAAGATGTCTTATGTAACTCCGAGTAAGTTGTAGATTCCGAGAAAACTCACGCCTATGCGTCAGGTGAATCTAGATTGGCCGAAGTGGTTGCCAGAGAATTGGAGTTTTGAAACAAAAGTTCATAGCAGTTGAGCCATTGCAGGAATTGTTGATAGATATTATATTGAACCAGTGTTCGAAGGTAAATTCAGGTC